ATTTCCATTACCAGTTTTCTTCAGGGACGCCGGCTGATAACTTGGTAATAGCCACAATCACCCAATGGGCACATCTTCTTCATCCTTACCCACAAATACAGTCAGCAGTCTGATAACTGGAAAAAAATTCATTTGTCCTCTTTCCTTCAAAAGGTGCTGGAGGGACAAGCCAAGAGAGAGGAAGAGAGAGAGAAAGAGAGAGAGAGAGAGAGAGAGAGAGAGAGAGAGAGAGAGGGATTGAGAGAGAGCCCAAAGATAGTTTGAGTCTTGTTTTAACTTTTAACTCCCCTAAATTTACAATTTACAACCTTGATTTCTACATTGTTAAAACCACTGATAATTTTGTTCTTGCCTCTAACATTGGGCCCTTACATTTTAAATCAACTTAGTTGCTTTTATTAAAGATTGGATAGAGTTCCAAGACAGCCAGGACTACACAGAGAAACCCTGTCTTGAAAAACCAAAAACAAAACAAAAAACAAACAAACAAACAAAAAAGATTGCATAGGTGCTGTACAGTTGATGGTCCTGAGAAAAAGATATCAAGAGCTAGATACAGAGGACCAGAGATATAAGCTGCATAGCTATCCAATAGCTCAAAGATTGAAGCATGCACAAAGAGAAAAGGAGAAATGAAGGGGAACTTTGGAACACTTGTGCACCCCCACCCTCATCAGAGAGGCTAATTACCATTCCTTAGTCAGAGGACACTTTCTGGGTTAACATTCAGAGGAGGAAGGGAGAGGCTGATTAACATTCCTCTGACCAAAGGGAAGAGAACCCACCTTTGGGTGGGGAAGGCCCAGAGCACTTAGACACATTCCACAGGACTGACCAACCCTTGTGACTTAGAGACAAGGGAGATCCTTGTCCCCTCATTCCCCAAAAAACAATCAGTTTAAAAGTTACACTGTTCTGTTAATCATGTTGTGCCTAGTCACTGTTTCTCTAGTCTATCCCTTAAACTGTATACAAACTGACCAAATGGGCTGCCTGGGGTCACCACTCCACCTTCAGTGTAGGACAGCCCCAAGGCATTGGATCATTAAAATTCCTTTTGCTTTTTGCATCAATTTATGTTTCCCCATGGTTCACTCAGGGAGTCTCCAGTAAGCTAAGGCTCCCCAAGAGTCTTACAGTGGAATACAAATTCTTGAAAAACAAAAACTAAAAGCAGAAGTAAAGCAGATTATCAAATCCTGCTGAAAACCCACAAGATCTTCCTGCACTCAAAATGCTTCTTCCAGCAGGCTGTTGTGGCTCATGGACCTAATCTCAGACAGAAACAGCAGGATCTCTATGAGTTTAAGGCCAGCCTGATCTACATAGTGAACTCCAGAACAGCCAGGGATACATAAAAAGAACCTGTCTCAAAACAAATAAACAAAGACTACTTGCCCTTGTTCCTGACCTAGAGCTGGCCCAACTGGAGAGGGAGAAATAAGGAACAAGGCTGAGCAGGTTCATAAGGGTCAGTACTGCTTAGACAAGGATCAGGGGGAGATTGAAGACCTGGTGTGTAAGATGGAGTCACTTCCTGCAGTGGACAGCCCCCACCTGGCACAAGCCCCACTGATACACTCAAACACATGCATTGTGTAAATGTGCACACATAAACACACAAAAGCATCTATACTTCCAGATACACATGCTTGCACATGCTCCTGTAGAAACATGAACACATACACTTACAGGTACAAACACATGAACAAGTAAACAGACACATGTCCATATAGTACACACAGATACAGAGACAGATGTGTACAACATGCACATACTGTTTGAGTTTGCTTCTTGTTGTTGTGGGAAGGAAAGGATTTATGTGGCTTGTATGTCTCAGTTCCTATTTGAAGGAGGTCAGTGTAAGACCCAGAGCACCGGTTCTTATGACCAGAATGTCCATCTATAAAGACACAGAGACAGAGATCTATGCAATGTGCAAGAGGTTTATTGATTCATCCAGGGCGCTGGGGCCATCCCACAATGGGAGCAGAGGCGACCCTGAAGAGCAAATGTATTCACTTTTTATACTTCTTCAGACTATAGGCTTTATGTAGCATGAGTTGGCTATCTCCCATTGCTGGAGCCCATTTCTTTCTGCATTCAATGTCAGCCCCTGGTGAGGAGATATCTTTGGTATGTAGAAGGGGAGGGAAGGGGTCTCACCCATACCTCGGCTGAGTCACTTACTGGGACAGGGCGTTTATGGAATTCTCTGACCCTGAGCTCAACAGAAAGTCTCAGCCACCTGGTAGTTTCTCAAGTGGGGAGACATTTCTGCTTAGGTAATATGATCTTTACATCAGCACAGGAACACACAGGCTGTGGCAGATACCAAGGAGGAAAGCTGTTTGCTGGCTTGTCTACTGGGTCACTCCCTGGTCTATTCTCCCACAGTTCTCTTATGCAGCTTAAGCATGTTTAGGGATGCCTAAGGATGATACCGCCCACAAAGGGCTGGCCCTTTCCACACGAATCACCATTGAAGATGATAGGCCCACAGCTATGCCAACAAGCCAATCTAACCTAGGCAATTCTTTTTTTTTGGGGGGGGGGGGGGTTCATGACAGGATTTTTCTGTGTAGTTCTGGCTGTCCTGGAACTCACTCTATAGACCAGGCTGGCCTCGAACTCAGAAATCCGCCTGTCTCTGCCACCCAAGTGCTGGGATTAAAGGCATGCGCCACCACAGCTGGGCATAACCTAGGCAATTCTTGCATTTTAATCTTTCATTCAGTGGCAGTCCCTGGTGAGGAGATGTCTTTGGTATATTAAAGGAAAGATAAGGGGTCTGCCAGCTGAAGCAAACTAGGACCCATACATTTATACTGGACCCTATACATCTTGGAGCCTCCTACTGAAACCAGCAAGGAGATGGACTCATGACCAGCATATGAGTTCAATCAGAGCTCAAGGTCGACACAAACCCCACAGACCCTCTACCTGATGAACTGGTTCTGGGTTTTCTCAATACAATGTAATGATTCCCTTTTGTCTGAATCAGGGGACAACAAACCCAGAACTTTTCATTTCAGATTAGTTTTAAAGTCCCAAAACTGTGAACAAGAAGTTACACCAGGCAAGCTCCCATCCAGACCAGTACCCTGTCTTCATCATGGAGAGACCACACCAGGTTAGCACCACAGCTATGGTCCCCTCCAGTAGAGAGGGCCTGCACATCTCTAGAGTCAGAATATGAATGAGCTTCTTGATTTCTGGGGTCCTGGTAGAGAACAGCTCTGTCTAGCTATATGTCTTCAAAGGTTGGACAGGCTGCAAACATCCCATCCCTGAGGAGCTGGGAGATGTCAATGAAAGGACCTGGACCTGGCAGCAGCCTGTCCCTATCATGGCCAAGCCTGGGAGAAGGGACACTCTCAAGAGCCCTACCTTAAATCTGTGGCTCAAGCTACAATGCCCCAAAGTCTAAGAAAGATCTGGGAGGGCTGGTTGTGAGGAACTCTGTGCTGAGGGTAGGTCCACAGCGCCTGATACCAGAACACTGTGGCCCTGAGGAGCCTGCAGCTACATTGAGTGCTTCTACTAAACCACAGGTTTATTTAAAGCATTTTTTCTTTATTTTTATTTTATGCTTTGTCTTCTTGTGTGTCTGTGTACCATGTGTGTGTAGTGCCCATGAAGGGCAGAAGAACACACTGGATGCTCTGGAACTTGGTTACTAGCTACCATGTGAGTGCTAAGAACAGAACTTGAATCCTCTGTAAGAGTGTGCATGCTCTTAACTGCTGGGCCACCTCTACAGCCCCCTGGGAGTCCAGAGCTTTTAAAATAAATGCCTCTATTGAGAAGCAATTCATATGACATACACTCCAGCCATTTGAAAGTGCATAATTCTTGAGTCTAGTATATTCAAATATGTATAGGCTAGGGCAGGCCTCGCCCCACTGTTCTGATAAGAAGGGCTACTTGAATGCCTCTGGCATCAGTTTCACAGTTTCACTTTTTTGTCCTGACACCTCGAGAACACCTCTTGCTGGTGGCTCCCATAGCTCGGGGGTTGAACAGAAAACAGAGCCCTCCCTGGCACCCCAGCACGTCCTTTCTTCGCTTAGTGAGCTCAAATACCTCGGTAGAGGTGAAGATCCAGGTGAGCCACCCTGCTACTCAGCCACTACCAGAGCCCAGCTGCCCCTACTCTGGTGTGGTCTCTACTCTATGCCCTGGATGCCTGCTTGTTAAGTTGGAGACTCAGCCTTCCAGAAGCCCCACTATACCAGACAGATTGAAGAAACACTAGCAGCTAGGGCCTAGCCCCTATGGAGGCTACCCACAAGTGATACAGTGGGACAAGCCTGGTTTCGTGTGTGTGTGTGTGGGGGGGGTGACAGGAAGGTGGAGAGGGGACTCTCTAGATTTCTCGGCTAAATGCTGACTTCTTGGCCCACAAGTCCTTCCCTGATCCCTAAGGGCCTTCTTGCCTCACTCTCCACCATTCGCCCCGAGACCTAGTGTCCTAGGGTATAACAGTTGCTCCACACTGCACAGGTATCTACCCCAGGCCTGTTTGGGCCTCTGACCCATAAAGGTTCAATGAGGTCAGGTAACTCACAGAGCTGTACATGAGAGCTCTGCAGGAAACCACCGAACACTGGAACCACCGAACAATGGCTTTGCTGTGGGCTACTGTGCTGAGTCCCTTAGAAGTGAGGACTCGAGTTCTTTTCCCACCCTTGGTCCTCAGCCCAGGAGCACAACAGGGTATCTTAGACTTCAGCAGGTGGCCAGGGGTGACATACAATAGTTAATGGTGTGGATAGTGCAGGACCTGTTGCAGTAGGCTATCACCTCCTCTTCCTAAGTCAAGTGCCAGACTCCAGGGAGAGACAGATAAGTGAGCCACAGAGTTAACAGTGTCTTCTGTGTTGTGTTGGTCAGACAGGATGTGCCAGGACTAACAAGGCAAGGCTACTCTGAAGGGATGGGGTTCCTGAGTGCTGGAGGCAACTAAGTGTGGACCTCTGCCATCCGCTCCCAGGATCATGACATCAGCCTTTGAGAGAGCGGTCAAGAGGGTGCTCAAGGAGGTGGACCACGACAGAGGAGATCTCATCCCAGTGGACTGCCTTCGAAATTCAATCAGCTTCAAGCCTTACTGTCTCCTGAGCAGGAAACTCTCAAGCTCATGGTTCTGTAAACCCCGTTATACATATGTGAACCTGTCAATCAAGGACATCCTGGAACCCATTGCTCCAGAACCAGGTATCTCCTTTACCTGTTCCTCTCTTCCCCATCCTGAGCCCCCAGATTGAATAGAAAAAGGGAGTGGGCGAAGCCCAGCCTGCCATCTTGCTGGGCACATTCAACTCTACTCCTCTGGCCCTATTTCCAGAGTGGGGAGTTCTTTAAAGGCCCCATTGCTGCAGAGGAAAGACAAGGTAGTGGCTACTGGAATACGACTGTAGAGCTGGTCTCGTTTTAGAACCGGAGTCTATTGGCCCCTTGAAAGTCTCTGATGTCGTCAATGAGAATATTCAGGGCAGTGTGGGGGTGACATCACCCATTGAAGAAGGGAGAATTTCTGGTGAGGCTGCAGCATCTGACAGTTCCAGTGCCTCCATGAATATGTGTATACTGCGTGTGAATCCGAAGACCTGGGAAAACCTGAAGAGTGAAAGGTGAGCCCCTGAAGGGATGATGGCTCTCTCACCTTGAGCAGCCATGCTTCTTGGGAAGGTTGCTGGGTTCTGGGCATCAGAAGGGTTCTGAGGCAGTATCTCTCAGCATGAAACAAGGGAAGCCCAAGAGGGAGAGGAGTATAAACAATGTCAGGTAGGGAAGGACGTTAAACCATGATTGCAAGAACTGTATCCTGAAGATCAGGATATCAAGAAAGGGTCCAAGTCCCTTGGAATCAGGCTGAGCTCCTGGTTGCTATGGAAAGAGGGTGATGTGGACTTGGCACATTTATGGATCATACATAATGGACTCCCTCCACAGGCACACTTGTCCACTTCTCTGTGTTTGAACTTTTCATTACCCTCACAAGCAACTAGAAACTGTTGGGAATGCCCTGGAAGGGTTCTCAAGCATGGCCTCCAAAGACTCCTGGATTCCCTAGCCTTTCCATCTTACCTGTCAGCAGGATGGTAGAGAGAGAGAGAGGCTAGTCCATGATGGGTAAGCCCTGGAAATCTTTCTGTAGGCACCTGCAGCAGCCTGAGAATACAATCCTGCAACAGCTTCGGAGGCGTGGGGATGACGTGTTTGTCATCACTGAGGTGTTGCAGACAAAGAAGGAGGTGAAGATCACCCAGACCCACAGTCAGGAGGGCTCAGGCCAGTTTAAACTGCCTGTAGTCTCCTTTTTACAGGTATATTATGCTAACCCTTACACCAACCTAGTCCTACTTGATCACAGAGCAATGGCAGGAATCTTAGAAGACAGGGGCAACATCCCAGGCAGTGATGGAAGACTCTTCTAAGACCCCTCCAGAAGCAAGCCATAGTCCCATTGCCCAGTTAGTTGGAACTGCTAAAGGCTGGGTCAGCCATTACCAATGACAAGCCTGTCACCAACACTCCACTCATAGCTATTCACTCTATACCCCTGAGCCCATATCCATCCTTCAGGGTGAAGGCAAGGGCCACCAAACCCGGAAGAAGATGGTGACTATTCCTCCAGGCAGCGTCCTTGCATTCCAAGTGGCCAAACTGCTCATTGGCTCTTCATGGGGTGAGTGGCATGGGACTGTCTCTAGAGTCCAGACTCTGTGGCAGAGAAGCACTTCAGCTAGCCAGGAGATGCTGTGGGTATCTGGCTGCATGATCTCCCAGACAGGATGGTAAAGTGTGCCAGGAGTGAGATGTGGGTCATAGGGGCAGGGTCTCATGAGGTCCCAGGAGCCTTGGGGATAAGGGAGTGGTGACCTGCTTGCTTCTGCCTGCTTCCAGATATCCTTCACATCTCAGATGAGAAAGAGAGGACCTTTGAGCCCTCCTCAGGTAAGGCCCCAAACCCTCTGGCTTTACATGTCCCTTAGCTTTGAGGTGTTCTGTGTTCAGCACATGAGGTGGGCACACGCCACACATACACATGTATACACAATGTGTGAGGCTTAACTCAGTGATGTTGCTGGGCCTGAATAGCTTTCCATCTGCCCTGGGTTGCCATTAGTAGGAGGGATGATTCTAGGAGGGTACAGGGAAAACTCTCAGCCCTCTTTGACATAAGACAATGGTCCTTGGGTAACTAATCAAAACAGCTCTTCCCCTTCCACCATCTGGATTTGTTGCCTAGGCCACAGAAGAGGAGTGGACCAGGAGCACCATAGCTTTAATCTGCTCGCTGTACTACGCTCCATTGGTGAGAAGCTCAAATTAAAGTCAGGTCAGTAACCTCTTGACCACCCTGGAACTCCACAGCTTCTGCATCTGCTCTCTGGACCTACCCCTCCTAACTAATGTTCCCCAAGACCTCAAGGGCATCAGGCTGTACTACCCTCTGTCCCTCCAGATGAAATGCCTGAGGAAGAAGAATTCTGGGAAGACTTCCAAGGCTTTTATACACAGGTGAAGATTAGCTCCTTGCAACTGGAGAGCTTAGAAATGGAGTTGAGACAACAGCTACTAGAGGACATCGGGAGGATTCTACAGGACCAGCTCAGCCTGGACGCCTTAGAGGCCTCAGTGAGTGAGAGTGCTGGTGGAGGACAGGGTCTGGACAAATCTCCTCAGCCTCACTTACTTCATCCTTACCTCAGCTAGAGCAGGGCCTGTGCAGTGGTGAGAAGGTGGAGCCTCTTGAGGGCCCAGCAGGCTGCATCCTTAAGTGTCTGGTGCTAGATTCTGGAGAGCTGGTGGTAGAACTCGCAGCCCCTATCTTCTACCTGTTGGAATCACTGAATGGTGAGCAGCCCAAGGAGGCATTAGTAGGGGACAGGAAGGGAGGACTAGGTTCTATATGGGGCATTCTGGAACCCTCTCTCAGACCAGATCTCTCCCCAGTGCTGAGTGAAACTCAGCAGCTGCTGCTGGCTAAGGCTCTGGAGACAACAGTACTGTCAAAGCAGCTGGAGTTGGTGAGAGGACCTGGCCTTGGGGGTCAAATGGGGCCCTGGGGACATCGAGGTTGACTCGGGAAGGTACTGCTTTTCTTGGGCTCAAACTGCAGGCAGCATCTATAACCTCTTACCCTCCTCTGTTGGTAGGTGAAGCACATCTTGGAACAAACCACCCCATGGCAGGAGCAGAGGTCTGTGTCCCTGCCCTCTGGGCTACTTGGGGACACCTGGGATGAGGAGGCTCCCACCTGGGTCTTGCTAGAAGAATGTGGCCTAAGGCTGCAGGTGGAACCCCCACAAGTGCACTGGGACCCAACTTCTCAGAGCCCCACATGTGCTCTCTATGCTTCCCTGGCCCTATTGTCTAGTCTAGGCCAGGATCTTGATTAGCCTGCAGGCCTCCCTTCCAGCAACATCTCCATGTCCTACCCTCCAGCCAGGGCAGAATCTTGCCAAGCCCAACCTCTAGGAAAGCCAAGTACCCAACTCAGTCACAGGGTTAGAATGCAATGAGATCCAGGAGTTGGGAAATTTCAATAAATGTACAAAAAAAATCATAGTGCTGAATTTTTGAAAAATACCGGATCATCAGTTGTATGGGGACATGGTGGGCAGGGTGAGTTCCCACACAGAATCAAGATGGATAGGATGGCTATCACTTCACTCCTGTGACCTACAGACAGGCAAATTCTGGGAATCAACAAGTCTCATGGCACAGGGGAGTTCCTGGGTTTCTAACTGATGTTGCCAAAGGGTTCTGATCACCCCTGGGAGCTTCCACAGCTAGAAATGTTTGGTACTTGGTGGGGACCACACCACCTCCATAGTGCAGCTCAGCTTTAGCTTGCTGAGAGGTGGAAGTAGCAACAGCTTCTTCCTAATAGATGCTTTCTTTCTCAGTGATGCAAACACAGGCCAGATTAGACCAGATTAAAAGTAGATATGGCAGGTTTCTTAGGAGGCAGCTCTCAGGTGGGTTCACGGATGTCACACGTGGAGGTCAGGGAAGTTGCACATCCAGGCTAAAGCAAGAAGGTTTTGTGGTTCTAGGAAGTGGAATGATGACACGTGATCTAGGAGCTGGGACTGTATCCATCCATGGTCAAAAACTGAGCCCCTGGCCGGAAACTCTGAGATGAGAAGTGATGACAAGTTACCCCAGAGTTTTCTCCGAGCAGGCAGATTTGGGGTTTCCCGGCATGTTTCAGAGATGAGCAGGGGTTCCAGCCTAACATGCCCACCTCTTTAGGTCCAGGGCCTCCCGTTCAGATCTGGCTACTTCCTGCTGAAGAGGAATGGCATGAGGTGGGAGGGTGAGGAGTTGCTGGGTTCGAGCTCAGAAGGTATGGGTGCAGGAGCAGTTGGTTGACTGTCATCCCAGAGACCTCAAAAATCCCATTTGTGAAAGAAGAGGAGAAGGAGTGCGTCGAGAAGAAAAATAGATTAGTATCCCCCATCCTATGAATGGGCTAACCTTGTGAAAAGAGCAAAGGCTGCCAGAAAGAGTAAAACTCAGATGTGTTCTGGTTGTGTGGGCAGAGGTTTTGTTGTTGTTGTTGTTGTTGTTGTTGTTGTTGTTAGATTTATTTATTTTATATGTGTGAGTACATTATCACTATCTTCATACACTCCAGAAGAGGGCATTAGATCCCATTACAGATGGTTGTGAGCCACCATGTGGTTGCTGGGAATTGAAGTCAGGACATCTGGAAGTGCTGTCAGTGCTCTTAACTGCTGAGCCATCTCTCCAGCCCATGAGTTGAGTTCTTTAGGCAATCTGTGGAGTGACTCAGTCTGGGTCTGCATCAGGCTTGCTGTTTCCCTGGGGGACATGCAGGTCTCACCCTTATCAATCACGAGGAGGTAAAGATCTTTTACTTTTGTAGGGCCACTGAAGCTTGTGAGTTTACACAAAGAGGTAAGATTTAGACACCTTAGCATTATCATTTGGACTGCCTCATTTTAAGAGCCTGACACAAGCTGAAATTATCACAGAGAAAGGAGCCTCCCTTGAGGAAATGCCTCCATGACATCCAGCTGTGAGGCATTTTCTCAATTAGTGATCTAGAGGGGAGGTCCAGTTCTATTGTGAGTGGTGTCATTCCTGGGCTGGTAAGAAAGCAAGCTGAACAAACCAGTAAATAGCACCCCTCCATGGCCTCTGCATCAGTTCCTACCTCTAAGTTCCTGTCCTGTGTGAGTTACTATCCTGACTTCCTTTGGTGACCAACAGCAATGTGGAAGTGTGAGCTGAATAAACCCTTTCCTCCCCTACTTGCTTCTTGGTCATGATGGTTTGTACAGGAATAGAAACCCTGAATAACACATCATTTTTTGTAATCTATACTGAAACTAACATTGTAGGAAAGACAGTAGACTCATACCTCTGTGTCATTGTAGAGGTTTGGCAAATGATTTTGGGTTAAAAGCATAAAGACTTTTTAAGGTGAGCTCAGGGAAGACAAACCTTCTGTGAGACAGAAGGGGCAAGAGCTCCCTAGATCCTGATTTGCAGTATGATTAGAGATTGTGAAAGAGGGACTTCTTTCCTCTATCCAGAAGGCGTGATGCACATAGATTAGAAGGAACTTTTTGATGAGAAACACTTTTAATTCTATATTTAGAAAACAACCAGAGGAAATTTAAAGTCCTGAGCATGTGACTATGATAATAGTGGATCAACAGTGGAAGGCTTTATCAGAGTTAGACTAATAGTGGATCAGAACTCTATTGGTTAATAGTAAAATTTTGAACTTTTGAAGGTTAATACAGCAGTAACATAGTGACGGATCAGAATCAGAAGCACTTTCCGTTTCTCCCGTCCACCTTAAATCATTTTTTGTATCACCTAAGTTTTTACACCCTCCGTTCTTCATACCTTACATTTACCAACCTCAAAACACCTTCCTAGACCCTCGAACATTTTCTTAGATCCTTAAACACTTTCTGAGATGCTTTTCTATCCTCAGGCCTTACATAAACTTAAATCTTTATATTTTGCCTACCCAATTATTTGACATGAGACGTAGGTGGTTGATCATTGAGAGCAGTCATTTTAAAGTGAGTTTCTTTAGATAAAGGAATAGTAAAAAGTTATATAGAAATCTTTCTTAAGTCTGATAATAAGGTAAAATGTGTCTTGACCCAGTAGTGGCAGCTTTAGGAGAGTGAGGGTTGAAGCCTGATCTTTACCCATGAAGAGGACTGAGAAGGCAGCTGAAGCCTTGGTTTTTGTTATTAAACTGATCCTCAAACCATGAGACCGAAGAAGTACTTATTGTCCTTTTACATTTCTTTGTTTAAGAAATATTTAGTTCAGTATTTCATTCATTCATTAGTTTTTCTTTCTATGTTTGCCATGTGTACAGGGTCCATAGTGTTGGATCCTCTGGAGCTAGAGTTATAGGTGGATGTAAGCCTCCTGATGCAGGTGCTGTGAGCTGAACTCTGGTCCTCTGGAAGAGCAGGAAGAGCTCTTCACCTCTTCCTATCCCTCCACCATCTCTCCATCATCTGTCTATCATCTCTCTACCTCCCCATCATCTATCTCTCTGACAATTCTCCATCTCTTAATCTCTCCATCCCTCCATCATCTCTCTTTCCCTCCACCATCTCTCCACCCCAGTAGCTCATTTATTGATTGGTTGATTTGATATTTTGTAGCATAAAATTCACAGCTCTTTGATCTGCTAGCTGATGTGTAGTAGGTAAATACATCTTCCCGTTGTGTCAATCGTGTCTCCACTCTTGTGATTCTATCTTTTGCTATAGAGTAAGCAGCATTTTAATTGTATGTAATTTGTCCAGTCTTGGGGTTGACCCTGTGCTGTGGGAGTCCTCTCAGAAAATCCTTGTCTCTGTGTCTTGATATGTCTTTGTTTCAGATTTTCAAAGCTTCAAGCCTTACACTGTGGTCTTTGATTCATTTTAAACGTGTTTTGTTAAAGGGGCTGTCTTTCCCTCCCCCCAACCCTCAGTATATGTTTTTGGAAGTTTTATCAAAAATGAGGTGTATGTCCCTGTGTGTGTCCTGCTGGGTCCTCCTTCCACACCATTGGTCTATGGGTCGGTTACAGTGGCTCAGAACTGAAGCTGAGGATGCAGTCCTGTCATTCACCCAGCACTGCTAAGAATTCCTCCAGCTAGGGCTGGACAGAAGGCCCTGGAGATTAAGAGCACTGAGTGCTCTTCCAGAGGTCCTGGTTCAATTCCCAGCAACTACATGGTGGCTCACAACCATCTGTAATGGGATTGGATGCCTTCTTCTAGTATGTCTGAATAGAGCTACAGTGTACTCATACACATAAAATAAAGAAATAAATCTTAAAAAGAGAATTTCTCGAGCTATCTGGGCATTTTTTGTGCTTACATGTGAATTTTTGAATTACTATTTCTAATAGAATGTCATTATATATTTGATGGAAATTGTGTTGACTCTATACATTGCTTTCAGCAATGCAGCCTTTTCCATGTGCTGATTCAGCCCACCCATGAGCATGGGACTTTTTTATCTTCTAGTGTTTTCTTCATCAAGATACTTTTTGGTTTTGGAGTTAAAGTGAGTGTATTTCCCTCTTTGGTTCTTATTTGTTTTGTCTTTCTTTCTCCCAACCCCTGTCCCCAGATTAAAAAAAAAAAAAAAGTCTTTATTGGCCTTGGCTACTTGAGAGGGATGAATTGGGAGGAGTGGGTGGCACCAATACCGGGCAGACCATGCTTCGCAGGCTTGTAGGTGATGGAGAACTCGCCCAGGTAGTATCCAATCATCTCCGGTTTGATTTCCACCTGGTTGAAGGTCTTGCTGTTGTACATGCCCACCATGCTGCCGACCATCTCAGACAGAATGATCATGTCCCTCAGGTGGGTCTTCACCACCTTGGGCTTCTCCATGGGTGGTGCCTCCTTCTTGACCTTTCTCAAATGCTTGAACAGTGAGTGCTGCTTCCGACTCTGGTGTGCGCTATACAACTGCATCAGTGGCTCACAAGACATGTTCAGCAGTTGGTCGAGGTCTATGCCCTGATAGGTTAACTTACACTTGAAGGTCCGCTACTTCTTCTGCTCCACTTCAGCCATCTTAGTGGCTGCTTGGAAAAGGATGTTTTGTGTTTCTTAAGATTTAAAATTGCATACATTATATGTGTATGTGCGCGCACACACATGAACCTGTAACCTTGCCACTCTGGTAACTTGCGCTTTCATTTTCCCTTAATTCTAGAAACTCTCTCATTTCTTACCTGATGTCTTTGGCGACACACTAGTCATGGAAAGGTGTGTTTTTGGTCTCCATGTATTTATGGAGGTTCTGTACTTTTCACATGACTGATTTCTAGTTAACTACACTATCATCTGATATGATATAAGAGATTATTTTGATTCTTTTTATTTGG